CAAGTATTTTTTTTTCTTTACTGAAAAGTTTTTTTGGAATGTACGTCACTGCAGATATAAGTATTGGAAAATGAGGAATGATATGACAGAGAAAAAATGCTAAAATACTGAGTGATGCTTGAATTACATCATCACTCATCACAATGCGGATCTGGAGGAGTGAAAATTGTTGACCTGTCTACAACTAGTGTGCAAATGGATTAATCACTGTCTACACATTCGGACATTTGCTGCAGGACAAAAACATACAAATATGTCTTGTATGCTATGATGTTCACTCTTAAAAAAGTTTATCACCACTCCTCACAGAAGTAAACAAAAAAGATCAATAATTCTATGGAGAATAGCAATTAAAAAGGTGAAATAGAGAACATTATGAGTGAAAACTAGTTGATTAGAGAAGAAAAGATAAATGTAGAAAACTTCAGGTGGGTGGGCAACAAATACAAAGTAAAACCGTCATCCATCAGAAGGTCCTTTGCAGAATGTTGCTCTCCTCACAGTACGACTAAAAGCCCCTCTTTCTCTAGTCAATATACCAGCCCTATGTGCTTTTAAAGCTGATGCATCTTCAATGTCTTGTATCCACATCCGTGGAGGTCTACCTCTGTGTTGTATCTTCTGGAAACTGAACACTCCATCACCTTCTCTTCAGGCTGCCATTGATGTTTAACATGGCCAAAATACCACAGCTTTCCGGAGAGGATGCTGTTTATGAGGCAATTTTCCTTGATGCTCAGATCCTGTAGGATGTCAATGTTTTCTTTCTTCTTAGTCCATGATATTCTAAGAATTTATTTGTAACATTAAATAACACCAAATGCATCAAAATCGCAGAGCATTTAGAACTGGATGTCATGATAGTCATATCATAGTCAATATCTGCTCCAGTCTAGACACCTTTAAACTGACAAGTCTCTCCAGAAAATGAGACAGAAATGCACCTCCATGACAGAAGACACTGAAGACTCACTGGCTGTGAAAGCATGCAGGCTGGATAATTCACAAAAGAAAGAGAGACATTCAGGTGTGCTCTGAAAAGAGCTACATTCTGAATAGGAACCGCTTATTTAATGACGATAATAAATCTCTCAACTGTGTTAACACATGTTAAGTAATACTTTACATGAACTCACAATTAGTGGGTCATTAATGTCAAGGGTATCCCACATAAAGCCAGTAGGAAGACTCAAGGGCTCGTGGCGAATCTCTGATGGTAACTTGTCTGACTCTATCGCCTCATTGACATCGATATCCTCATCTGAAAATATGATTTCAATTATGATGCCAATATTCTTTCGCTTATTCTGAGAGGGAGACCACTGAAAACTTAATAAAAGTAAAGTAAAGGCCCCTTGTTCATTTCATAATTATCCTCTGCAATATGACATTGCTGTGGTGTCTTGCACTGCAAAGCTCATAGTATCTTAGGGGGTCTCGGCGGTGAAGTGATCAAGCCATTTGCCTCGGGCTCTGAAGGTCGTGGTTCATTTCATGGCTGCGCTGTTTAGTTCATGAGTGAAATTTTTTTGGAGATCCCTGGGGATCGTTGCTGAGTTTGTGCCCTGTGCGACGTTCTCAGCAGGCAGCTAGCCACTCTGCGAAGAGATGCCCAGCCATATGGGATAAAACCTGGTGCAATGAAGTCGATCCTCTAGAACAAATGTGTGTTATGTCTGAAACATGCTGTTTAACAAACTCAAATACATTCTAGAAAAGTGAAATGTTTAACCTGAATTAAAGCTGAAAAAAAAATATAACAGAATAATGTATTAAAATGGACAGAAAACATGGTCAGCTTCACTAAAAACAAAATTTAACCAAATAGCTGACTTCAGTCTTGAAAAAGTGAGTTCATTTAATATGGTTTTTAATGAAGTTCTATCACTGTCTCTGTTCAATGCTGATAAAGATGTTTACTGCATCTTCTAGCCTACTTCTACAAAATTATTAATAAATGCAGTTTTCTCTTCATCTACACTCTCCCAATTTTCTTTTGGATTGCAAGTTTAAAAGTCAGGGGCGGGAAAAATGACAGGCATTGTCACTGTAGGCTTTTTCTTCTTCTACCATGAGTCTCCTATGTTCAGCAGCCTTAACACAGAGATAGGGTGCCTTCATGAACCCTTTTGTCAGAAGATTATAGCGGATACCCCATAGCTTCTTCTCTACTTTCATGTCCTTTGGGCCAATTTTGAGATCTTAAATTCCCAGAGGGCCCATGTGCATTTCGCAGTCTGGGTGGTTCTTTTGTAGAGATGGGCTTGTAGCGTACAACATCCTGTGTGGGACCTATAGATGATAGTTTGCTGTGCTCTGCCTCATGTCAGAATGAGATCACATGAATAATAACTATATTAATAATAATGCTCCTGGCATTTTTGAACATTCTCATAATAACTGTTTTTGCTTTTTTCAACAAATCCTCTTAGATGGCTGACATGAGTTAAACTCATGAAAAGCATGCTAAACTGAAAATAGTTCAGAGGTGACACAACATTATATTCAAATCAGCAATAAGAACATGATGCTGACTACATCCCCTACAACTGCTGATTAGTCTTAAAAAACAGGACTAGCCCTGTATGCCCAAAACTTTACTAGCAATAAAAGTTTAAAACAATGGCTACCAGAAAACAATATTACCAAACTTGGGAACTGGCTGTGTCTCCCAAAACTGATACTTTTTCCTTTTTGCCTCTTCAATATTCTTGGGTGCCCCCTGGGACAATGACAATTTCTCCAGGGCATTTTGAAGTGTGGACAGCTTCTGTCATGAATGTACAGTTGTAAAGTGTTAAAACTATATTGTAAAGTGTTAAAACTATATTGTAAAGTGTTAAAACTAAATTAACAAGCTAACACCAAGATATTAATTAATTTAATGAACTGTGACTAAAAAGCTCATTGTTCATTTAAAGATCATAATCTCATATGACCATAAGTGCTCCGAATCTCCTCCTGAGTATGTCTCCAAATTCGATCAGGAAACCACCAGCCCCAGCACAAGACGACTATTGTATTATGGACAGACCAGAACAAGTCATTATCCTCCGCCTCAGAACAGGGCACAACCGATTACGTAACCACATGTACACAAAATTCAAGATAGGTGTATCAACCATGTGCACCTGTGGAAATGTGCCCCAGACAGCACAGCATGTTCTCCAGGACTGCACCGATTTTGGCACATTAAGGCAAACCTTTTGGCCAGAAACAACATCAGTGGAACGTAAACTCTATGGACCATTGAATGAACTAACAACGACAGTGAAATTTATACAAGAGACAAAACTGCTGATATAGACAACTTATTTCAGGCGAACGAAAAAAGAAGTAATAGACGAGTGTGTGTGTGTGTGTGGGGGGGGGGGGGGGGGGGGGGGGCACTAAATAACCATAAACAGCTTCTGAAGACAGTGCATTAACAGGACAGCATCAACAATGAATAGAAATGTGTGTAAAACAACATAAGCTGCATTCTTTTTCATAGGCCATTTTTGTCAATGATTAATTTGAGTCTGTATGCATCTGGCCATCTTTTCTACAAGTTCAAATTGTGATGGAATTTTAAACATGCTTCTTCTTCTTTCTTCTTAGCGTTCACCAGTTGGAAACTCCAGCCAAAGTTCTTGCCGTTAGTCCACGCCTTGGCTTTGGTCTTGTTCTGGAACACGATTTTTGTAGGCACATCTGTTCTAGAGATCTGGCTGGCATTGTAGTTTACAGCTAGGCTGACGCATATGCAACTTTTGACCCAACACACCCCATTTTAACGATCCCTTAATTATTCACCATTTATGACAAGGGAAGCAATGGATCCAATGGGACCCCAAAACCCATACAGGAAAGTGGCAGATTAGGATGTAATTAGGTCAAGATTCAGCAATGGACACAAACAACAGCTGGGATTAGGGACACACCGGTAATGTCACCTCAGTGGATCTGCTTCACAATCAACACACCGGTAATGTTACCTCAGTGGATCTGCTTCACAATCAACACACCGGTAATGTTACCTCAGTGGATCTGCTTCACAATCAACACACCGGTAATGTTACCTCAGTGGATCTGCTTCACAATCAACACACCGGTAATGTTACCTCAGTGGATCTGCTTCACAATCAACACACCGGTAATGTTACCTCAGTGGATCTGCTTCACAATCAACACACCGGTAATGTTACCTCAGTGGATCTGCTTCACAATCAACACACCGGTAATGTTACCTCAGTGGATCTGCTTCACAATCAACACACCGGTAATGTTACCTCAGTGGATCTGCTTCACAATCAACACACCGGTAATGTTACCCCAGTGGATCTGCTTCACAATCAACACACCGGTAATGTTACCCCAGTGGATCTGCTTCACAATCAACACACCGGTAATGTTACCTCAGTGGATCTGCTTCACAATCAACACACCGGTAATGTTACCCCAGTGGATCTGCTTCACAATCAACACACCGGTAATGTTAC